CAAATAACTCAACACGTTTTAACACATAATATAGTGTACTACTAGGGTTGGGCGATTTTGACAAAAAAATTAATCACTATTAATTGTGGCGTTTTGCCAGTAACGATTAATTTGACGATTAATAGATGACAATTACTCTTGCATGGTTTTTGACTCTAAATCAGTTACCCTGTGTTCTAAATTGGTACTTTCAAACCAGTTAGACTAACTTTTTCTGCATTTTAACAAGTTAAAATAGTAAACTTATTGACAAGCATCCACATTTGAAATGTGTAAACAGATTAAACATTTATTGATAACTCTTGATGCACAACAATTCACAGCCACAAACCACTTAGAAATAAATCAAATTGTTAAAGTAACTTTGTACTTCAAAAATAATTTTCTCGAGGTCACAAAAATTTAAACATGACAAATTCAGGAAAAAAAATCACAAGAGTGATTACTTAAAGTTTAAAATAAAATGTGCCTGTGCAAATTACCTGTGACTAGAGTATGTCACACTCAAGTGCATGTTTTAACTACTACTGTAGCAGCATCGAAAAAAGAAAAAAATACCTGAAATATTACAAACCGAACAATTTAAAGTTCAAATGTTCATCTGTGCAAATAAACCTGCATAAGTGCATTTTCATGTGTATATGTATGTACTTTTAACATGTACAACAGCAGCAACATGACAGCAAAATAAAATAAAATTTAAGATCAAATAAAAACATTTTTTGACTATTGTAAACATGAAAAGATATATAATCTTTTCATTTCAACTCAAACAATGAAAAATGTAAAATGTGCTGAAATGAGGTAGACAAGAAGAATAGGGTGCTTCAATAGTCCAAGCACCCTAACATGGTTGTCCTATGTTCACAGCTTTGTGAGATTTTTGGTCAAGAAGACCAGCATATTAACCATRGAAGGTTTTAGAAGAGATCTCTGACAAGTCACAATATTTCCTCCTGCACTAAAAACCCTCTCTGAGGCTGTGCTTGTAGCTGGTATGCTCAAGTACTTTTTGACCATACAACTAATCAAAGAGAAATTCACCTTATGCATATTCCACCACACAAGAGGATCACTATCACCATCTGCTAATTGGCCAAGCAGATAGCTGTTCAGTTCACCCTCAACTTTGTCTCTGTCAGAGACACTGTTGACCTCAGCAGCAGGTTTCTGAAAGAAACTTCCAAAGCTCTTCTTCAGTTTTTTGGATGGAGCCTGGTTCGTCTCCACAGGCACAGACTGAGATGAGGCTTCAGCAGTAGCAGCAGCAAGGAGAGAGGGCTTGCTAGAAAGAGATTCCACTTCTCTGGTGACTCTGGATTTGACGGCCTGGCTCTCTTCCTGACTTAAGTGCTGGGTGCGAAAACGTGGGTCAAGAAATGAAGCCATGTTGATCAGCTCTTTAACCTCTGGATCTTCATATCTGCTCATCAGGTACTCCAGTGTGGACTTTTTGATGGTCGCTGTGAGCTCTGTGTCTTCATCTTTTTGTTTCAGTAGGTCACTACTAAAAAGATGAAGAATGGGCTTCAGACATGACACTGTGACGTAACTCTCAGAGGAGAGGGCATCAGTAAACTCTAGGAGGGGACCTGATGCCTTGCTGACTGATTCCAGAACACTGATGTCCTGCCACGTCAAGACTAGATGCCTGGTAGAGCGCTCAGAAGCTAAGACTTGTGTGATGGCCTTTTCTTGTTCAAGCACACGCTGAATCATTG